ACTTGTTTCAAGAGACCACCGATAAACTGGAACCTCAAGCTAAAAATGGAAGAATTGGCAAATTTTTAAGAGGTGATAATGTGGGATCTACCAAACAAAAGTCAGTTGATTATTTCTCTCATATAGACCGAAACCAGTGCAGCATGAGTCAGTTGGAACAAAGGTATTCCCCCGCAGGCTTTAGGCCTTTTCCTCTATGTGGAGAGAAGCCGTTCAACGGAGTCCAACTTTCCGCCACCAATTCCATCAAGAAAAACACTGCTCAAAATTGCCAGTGGATTGGAAACATGGTTGGGCAGAAGTCCTCTCATGCTAATGTGCAGGCTTTGGGAGCTTGTAAAACCTGCCAGAGTGCTGCACAGCAGAATAAGGAAGCAGCTCACCTAAGGCCGTCCATGATGCTGAATATGCCCCATATACCCGGAATCCCTCACATATGTGCAGATCAGGTGGCAAAGTTGGACGTGTTTAGACATTGCCCCAGCAATCTACCTAAGGGAAATATGAGTCGAAATGATGACCGGAACTTATTGAATCTGGATTCAAACTATGAGAAGCATTGTGGGAAGTTTGATTCTGAAGCCCTTAGAAGGACACATGCAGATTACCCATTTCCTTGCAAACATAATGGGACGGAGTCGTTAGACCTGTATTCTAATGAAACCATATCAGCCATGCATTTACTCAGCCTTATGGATGCAGGGTTACAGTCGGGGGCACCTGTTGATGGAAACCAAAGATTCGTTAAGAAAACTCCGTTTCTTCCTGATCATCACTCTAAAGAGTTTTCAAGTATGCCATCTGGGGGATATAGAACCAATTCAATGAAGCATCCATCATTTGATTGCTACGGTAAAAGCCACCTACCTGAGAGTTTTTGCAAGTGTATGTCAGCCACCGCAGCGGATGGTCCTTCTATTTCATTCCGGCGTGATAAAAGTTTCAAGAAAGCACCTGAATTTACAGGTCATTTTTCACTCAAGTCTAGAGAAAAAGAGAAGAAAAAATGTTCAGACTCACAAAGGCAGAATAAAAACCACGAATCTAAAAAATCTGTATCTTCAAATAGTGGCTTAAATACAACCTGTGGGTCTATTCTTGTTCATAGTATGCCAAAATTGGCACTTGGAACTTCAGAAGGGAAGGTCCATGTAATGGAGAGTGCAACAAAACATAAGCAGAAGTCCCGTACTTCGAGTGGTACACTTTTCCACCCAAAAAGTGGTTCAGAGAATGGAATCTGTGGCATTAATAGAAACCCTGCTGATTTTACCGTGCCTGGAGCTGGAAATATGTACATGATCGATTGTGAAGACCTGAAATTTAGAAGGGAAAAAGCTCACTCATCTGGATTGGTAAAAATTGATTGGGCACAAACGTCAGAGGAAGCTTACGGTTAGAAAGGAACATTCACGAAATCAAACTTCATGATACTTTTATCAGTATATTTTCTGGTAGCATCTCAGAATCCCTTTAACTTCATTTCGGTTTCAAATTGATCTCTTCCCTTGCATTTGTCTAGCTGAACTCTTCAATCAGTATTTGATGTATCCTTTCTGCAGGCAAAATCGGAATCGTCTTCTTTGATACCTCAAAACAAAGAAAAGCTTAATAGCTTCATAGTCGGACATCAAAGCAGTCATATTCACCACACAAGTTGAATCTTTTGTTCTCGAACTAATATTGTTCTACTTGCATCGGCGTTTTCCATTTCCAAGCCCGAGAACATTAGGTGCATGGAAAGGCCTGTAAATATTCATATGCCTGGAATCCTGCACACTCGCCCTTACATAACATACCAACTGAAAGTATTCGATGTTGTATGCTGGTGTTGTCCTGGAAAAGTGTTGGTAAAACCTAAATATCGCCTTTTATTAGTACTCGGAAGTGCGTGTTTGTCGTGAAATAAGTCGGTGTATGCGCCATTGTTGAGCCATTTATTGGGAGTTGAAATAGGACTGGTAATCAGTCAAATATAAAACCCCTACAGGGACACTATACCCTTTGTTGTTAGTACTTTTATTCAGCTGTAATTCATAGGTTTGACAAAGAAGAGAGAAACAGAGGTGTATATTGTAATAGTTTTTTTTCATTTCTTTCGTTTCACTTTTCTTATGCTTTATCAAGTTGATTATTAAACGGATTTGGTATGACGTGTTAATTGGATAATTATTAATCCCCGTATCTACGTTAGCCTTCGACCTTAGATGAATAATATCTAAAACGCACTCAATCGGTTTTAAAAAAATATAACGGATTGAGTGGACGAAAATAGAATAAAAGAAAATTTCAGATAAGAAGACGACAAGAGAAATTTGAATCTAATATTCGTGTTTAGTCAACTTTATAACAAGTTTCATAAAGTAATTTTTGAGTTTAGAGGTTGTATATACATAGTCTAATAAAATTATTTGTATTGGTAATAAATAGGGACACCGATTGAGTTCAACAGCTCGCGAATAGTTCGAATTTAATTCGATCAAAATTCGGTCAACATTCAATTTAGATTAACTTGATTTGAATTCATATTTGATTTGAAACTTTAACAAGTCGAGTCAAGTAAGACTCATTTTGATAAGTTTACGGATGCTATTTTTATTTTTAGAATTGGTTATGAATTGTAAAAAAAATTCAAGAACGATTGTAATATGTTAGTTTTGGTGTATTTGTAGATTGTTACGTTGATTGTAATATGTTGGTTTTGGTGTATTTGTAGATTATTATGTTGATTGGAATATGTTAGTATGGTGTATTTGTGGAATAGTACTTTGGTGCTTAAACTTTGGAATTGCTTCACACATTATTTTGACTATTATTTTATTAAATTTGTTAATTTATGTTTATAATAGTATTACTATATTTTACATATATTTTAAAAAACAAGGTAAAAATTTAGATAGTTTTAACGAGTAAACTTATCAAATATCGAGTTATGTCGAACACTATTCAATTTATGACCGACTCGTTTGATAATCACTTCTAATTACAAAATAGATGTATTTGGTTGATTTACATTCCTCTAAGGGGGCGTTTGGTTCAGGATATCTCACATTATCGGGAGGAATGTACTGTCATTCTCCCGTTTGGATTGTAAACATTCTCAACTCCGGTAATCATTTATTCCCAATAATGGTATTTTGAGGGCTTATTATCGGGAACCAAACGCACCTTAATAAATATCTTGTTGGTAATAATGATGATGCTTGTTGGTAATAATGATGATGTTTGTTGGTTGTGACATAGAAAATTAGGACATATACGTGCGAGTATATTATCCAAATTTGTCAGCAAAGACGTTGTAGACTTGCCTTGGCTTTCATTTAGAATGATTATAAATTATTCATATTCATCTTTTTTGTTGTAATTAGAACTACTCATGTAAGTGATAAACAACATGAATTTGTGCATGTTATGATTATTCTATATAACAAAATAAGTATTCTTTTATTAATTTGGTTGAATATAAGATAGCATATGTTTAAAATTTTTCCATCATTTGATATTAAATACCTATATTCCTATATACATGGTGTTTGAACTTATAATCTCAAAAAATAACATCTTAACTATTGAAGCCATTTAATTCGTGCATATAACAAAACAAGTTAAACAAGAACTAAAATTGTATTACGAAGATCAATTTAGTAGCAAAATCACAACTCATAAAGTATGCAACAATTTAGCCCAAAGAAGAAAGTAAAATAGAAACGGGTCACACAAATAAGCCTACAAAATGGTTGAGTAAACGATGTGGGGAAAAAGTTATCAATATAATTAAATCTAGAGATTATTTTTTCATCTAGGGTGAATTCTACATTACCAACCTAAAGACGTCAAGTGTTCTACGCGTCTTAAAGCTAAATATGAAGACTCAACAACTGTATGGCGTCTTCAGGCAAATAAAGAAGATCCCACAATTACATAGCATCTTCAGTCAAATAAAAAAGATCTCAGAAATACACTATATTTTCACATCAATAAAAAAATCCTACTTCAAAAAATAAACGATGAATGTCTTATATTGAAAAATTATTTTTCTCAAAACCCATGGGCTAACAGCCCAAATAAGCCTTTAAAATCCACAAATGCCTGAAATTATTATTATTTTTTTAGTAAATTACAAACTAAAGCTTGGGTAAATCTGAACACGTGCCCTCAGCAAAGCTGAAAGGGACTTGTGGTTCAATCACCGTTTACAACAATTATTCTCCAATTTCTTCAGTGTCTCCACTTTGGTCCTCGAAATTCTCCAATCTCATAAATTTGCCCCTCTAAGTCTCAAGATCTTTCCAATTAGATCCTCGTAGCTCTCCGCTCAAATCAATCGCTGTGAACCACAAATTAATCAAATATACCCTTAGAATTATGACCAAATTGATAGGACATATAGATATAAATGATTAAATTAGATGAATTATTTATAATTATAAATGTTGAGGGTTAAAGTTGTTATTATGCCAATAACAAATGAGTCGTAAAACAAATTATATAAAAAAAAGAAAAGCTTTCAGTATCCCGTGTTAAGAAAATATTTTACATGGATGAAATCTTTTCCCCTCAAACAAACATTAGAAAATGGAAAAAATATATTGTATAAAATGTTTTACATGAATAAATATATCATTAAAATCATGATCAATTTGATATAAATTATAAACAAAATGGTTAAACTGGATGACTTATTTAGAATTGTAAATATTGGTATTTCAATAGGACAATTAACAATATCATTAATTTAAGGGTTCTAATGTTGTCATGAGTGATATTTATGTTTTTTGATTTATGGATATAACTTTAGGATTTGGAATTTAGAATTTATAGCTTAGGGTTTAAATTTTAAAATAATTTAAAGGTATCACGGAATTCAAATAAATATATTTGTGAAGTATTTTTCTACGATATATGGAACAATAACTCTTAATTTAAACCGATTAACACTATTATAAAAATATAAATTATAATATACCAAATTAAAGTAAAGATTAAATTTTAACTTTTAACATGATAGAGGGACTAAAACTGTATTTAAACCAATCGCTCAATCTCTAAAACTAGAATAGTAAAATTCCGTGACTCAAAATATTGGACAAATCAGAATCCTTCATTCCCGTCTTGGGTTAAATTCAGCCGTCCATATTCCTCCAGAGTTTTCAAAAGCTGGGCCCCTTTCCTCCTTCCTCTAGCTGTACATTCCCCTTGCAACGCTAGCGCCACCGCCCGGGCAACCTCCTCCGGGGGCGCCGGCACCATATCCTCCTCTTGGTCGTCCCCATTTCCACCACCGCATCCACCTCCGTAGATGACGGATATCACGCTAATTGCATATTCTCGTCCTCTTCCCGCCAACCGTCCCATAACGGACACCATCACGGGCACTGCAAGCGCGTGGGCTGTCACTTCTGCTGCTCCTTCGGCCACAGTGCACATGAGCTCGAGAGCAGCCAACGCCCTCTCCGCTGCCGCTCCTTCCAGCTCCATCGCCACCTCCACCACCGCTCCCACGGCTCCCGCCTCCACAGCTATGTGTCGGTTTCCTTCCGCCAAACATAATGCAAGTAGAATTTTAGTCGCTGGCTTCACCCCTGCTTTGTTTTTCAAATTCGAAACGATCCCACGCATCAATTCAGGCGAGCAAACCGGGTCCGACGGTGGGTTGGGCAAGAGTGAGCGTTCTAGAAGCTGGAGGGCAGCGAGTTGTTCGGATAGAGAACCTGTAGAAAACTGAACCTCGGCGATATGGAAAAGTTCTTGGAGATTAGCAGAGGAAAGCGGCGGCGGTGGTTGAAAATGAGTAGCTTGTGTTGGCTTTTGGTGGAGAGGGGACGTCGGGATGGGGAATTTCCATTGAGTAAAGCTATGGGAAGCAGAGGAAGAAGAGGAGGAAGAGGAGGATTCCGGGCGTTTCTGCATCGAGTTTTTCGGCGGAGGAGGAGGAGGTGGTGGAGGGGAAGGGTGATCCGGCACAGACAGCAGCGGTGGAGAGGCGGGTGGTTGTTGTGAGGAAGAAAGAGGGAGAGGAGGAGAATGAGGAGTGGTGGGGCTGAGTGTAGATTGAGTACAGTTACGGAAAAACCCGCATGAGAAGAGCGGACGCGGCTGCGTTTTGAGCTTTGAGTGGTGGTGGTTGGTTTTCATACTGATTTCCACTTTCCAGCTTAAAGTTTTAGGGTTTTTGGTGGTGCCGGTGGTGGGTGTAGCTTTAAGACTTAAAAGAAGTGAAGCTGATGAAAGAGAAGAAGTAGAGTCAGAGAGCGTAGTGGAAATAATGGAGCGGAACAGTTTGCAGAGAGAACAGAGGGGGACTCAAGTAGCAGAACGAACAGAGAACGTTTCACGATGCGTCGTCGTTTAGTATGCTTTTTTGGTAATGCGCGGGACAAAATTCTTGATTCAAAGTTTGTCTGTTTCGTTTTGGTTAAACTCTGCCAATTACACTTGTACTATTTGTTTTCTGTGGATTTAGTGCCTCTACTATTATTTGCTCAAAATTTATATCCCTACTTCTCAAATTGCTTAAATTTAATCTTGGGGCTAAGAAATCACATCATGGACCCTCCTCACCACATTGATCATGATCCTAATCAACGAAAATTATTAATTTCATTATTTTCCACGATATCAATTTTATAGATATTTGACTCAAATTTGATGGGTTTCGATTTAATCCTATAAGGTTGAGTTCTCTCTTTATTTTAAATAGATTTATAGTTCAGAGTGAAAAAATATGACATGAGTTAATAATATAATTATCCTTTAGATATTTAAAGATAATTATAATAATACAATGCTCTATATTTATTTATTAGGACTTTGTTTTACCTAATAAAAATAAGAATATATCGAGTAGAGTCAGATAAAAACTTTTTGAATCTAGATCAGGTGACGAGTAGTTAGGTGTAATACCCGAGTAGAGTTAAAATGATCTAAATATTTGATTTGATCCGATCCATGTTCATTCATTTCATGAAAAAATAAATGATAACTTTTAAAAAAATGACATTAGTTTAAAAACAATATGAAAAAAAACATAGATGAAGTGAGTAGTTATCATTAGTTGGAACTATGACTAATGCGATGAGAGAATCTACCATATAATTTTTCCTTTATGTTAACAAATTTCAGTCATGATGTGGAAAATGGAAATTACGAAAAAAAAAATCCACGTTATAATAACTAATGGAGTTGACAGAAACTGTCAGTAATAAGACTAAATTCATGTAATTGGAGAAGTAGAGATGCCGGTTTTGAGCAAATAAAAGTAGAGATACTAAATCCGCACAAAACAAATACTACAAAGGTCGGTGTCAGAATTCAAACACTTGCACAAAACAAAGACTAATTGATGTCATGCTCTTCGTCCTTCAAATTCAACAGTGAAACAGTAAGAGCCCCACTGTTATATGCAAGTACAGTACAGTGACGAAAAGTTGTTTGTACATTTGCTGGAGGTGGAGGAAGAAAACTGGTTAACCAGTCCAAGGAATACTGAGGGTTGGGTTGGAAAAGAAAATCGAAGGTAAGTGGGAAGGGCCCATCCTTTATCATTAAATCTAACGACATTTTTCTCGAAAAATAATCGGTGATCGGTATATTTATCGATCTAACATCGGTCAGATTATATTTTTTGATTTAACACCATTTGCATCGCGTTATATGTTGATTTGGCGTCACGTTGGGTAAGGCGCGCCGCCCCCTACACTGCGCTATATATTGACATGGAATACACGTGGGTATAACACGACCCTTGGGGCGCGCCTTACGCCACGTAGGGTATAGCGCGGGTCAGGGGTCGCGCATTACCTTTAATTCTCTGACATAATTATATATAGCACGGGGCAAGAGAAGCGTCATACCTTTAACTGATATAATTATATAAGGCGCGATGCAAGTACCGCGCCTTGTATAATTATAACAATTTTTCTCGGCTATAAATACCCTTCTCCCCCGGTTAAGTTCCTCACATCTCTCCTCTCAACTTATAAATTAATACAACAATTCCGTCAACGAGTCAATAATTCTGACAATTTTCTCATATTTAATTAAGAAGTTCGTGCGATTTTTCGTTTTAAGATAATTTTGTGATAAATTTTGTTATTATACTTATTGTTTATTATGATTATTTGAAAAAATATTATATTAATTGTTGTCAATTAATTTCTGTGTTTGTAAAATTAGAAAGCGGGAATATACGTCGAAATAGTTTTGCGGTACATGTAATAATATAAATTATATTATTTAAATTATTTATGTTTATGTGTAAAAATTTTATTCTGTTATATTTTCGTTAATATATTATTTATTTAATCAACATTGTTTCAGTTTTTTTTTTGCAGATATAATATTGTCGCACTTTTAAACTCAAAGAATGACGCGACTTTCAGTTATTGTTTATTATGATGGTGAAATTCGAGAAGATGAAACCGACGTTGTTTTCGTATCAAATGAGCGTGTTAAAATAACATTGAAGAGAAACATAACTCTTGAGGAGCTGATAACAAAGATTTCGAGGAAGATTCATGTTGGAAGTAGTATAAGAATGTCATCGTTGTAGTACAGATTTCCAACATCATTGTTGTCATTAACTTATACATCGTTCGAACTTTTGAACAATGATGATATTGAAATGATGGTTGAAGCTCAAAGTAATTATTCAGACGTCGATATTGAGATGTATGGAAATTTTATTCAAGTGTGTGTCGTTCGGAGTCAATCATTAAGCTCTCACTATGTGTTGGCTGAACAAGTTGACAGACCGACGACAGTAATGTGTAATGATTTTAATGTCATAATGGGGAGACATTTATCCGGAACTCCTTACGATATGTACCGAGGTGGGTCGACGAACAATCTGTATGGCAACATCGCGTCCAGTTCAAGGGGAAGGCATTCATCTGCAAATCCGTTTGACCTTAATATGGAGATGCCATCAACGCAACCATCTGTGCAGTTTCCATTTGACACGATGGCTTCAAGCTCCAGGGGGAGGCATTCGACTGCGAGCTTTTTCGATCTCAATGTCGATATGCCTTCTAGTTTAAGGGGAAGGCGTGCAAGTAGTAAGTTCTTCGACCTAAATGTGGAGCGCATGGAGGAACCATCATCTCCACCAGAAGAACCGCTTCGTGAGCCTGGTGCGGATGATGCTGAGATTGGATTATTCATTCAACCAGAATCACCGCAATTCAACTCCGATGATGATGAAGTTCTAGGAAATGTGGCACAAACTGACTCTCCTGCACACATGTATGAAGTTGATTATGGTGCAATGTACGAGCCAGAATTTACGGATATGCCTCATCTCGATGACTATGGATATTACTCATCAATAAATAATTGTGAGTTATCTTTAGGCATGGAGTTTTCAAGCAAAGAAGAAGCGGTGATGGCTATAAAAATTACAATATTCGTAATTCTGTTCAGTACAGAGTCAACCAATCCACGACCGAAAAATATGTATGCTACTGTGTCCGACGCAAAAACGGATTTAATTGGATGGTTCGCGTATCAAAAATGAAGAGGAAAAACAACATATGGGAACTAACAGTATACAACGGTCCTCACACATGTTGTGCTAGAGGGGTCAACCAAGATCATCCCAACTTGGACTCTGAAATGATATGCCAAGCCATCATGCGCATGGTAAAAACAAGCTCTCATATAGCTGTTGCAGTGTTGATTTCAGCTATACAATCACATTATGGGTACATTGTCTCCTATAAAAATGCTTGGTTGGCAAAACAAAATGACATTGTCAAACTTCATGGCGAATTGGATGCATCTTACAACGAACTTCCAGGTTGGTTTAGGCTGGTGCGGACGTTGAATCCTGGGACAATTGTGGACTTCCAAACCTCCTATGCATACCATAATGATCGAGTTCTTCGCGATCGATGCCAATTCTACCAGGTTTTTTGGAGTTACCCACAGTGCGTTAATGCTGTCAAATACTGCAAGTTTGTGCTCTAGATCGACAGGACTTTCTTGTATGGAAAATACAAACAAGTTTTATTATTGGCAGTTGTCCAAGATGGCAATCGCAACATTCTTCCAGCTGCTTTTTGTAACATCCTCAATATCGGGTTAGTGATCAAATTGTAAAATTTCAGAAATTGGTGATTAAAGTGGGATAATTGAATAGTCCAATGACTTACTAGAAGATATTTATACATCATTGTTAGTAATTATTAGATGAAGTAAAGGGTAAAATAGTCATTTGACATGGAAGATTTTTTATTTTCCTTTACTAGATAAGGAAGCCCACGTGGAAGAGAAAAGAAGGCAAAATAAACTTCCAGAGTTCTCTTCTCCTTCTTCAGCCGTGAGTCACCATGGCAAATGTGAGTTTTATGGTTAGTTGATTATTTGTTGAAATAAAAGTTGGTTTATGATTATTGGATGATAATTAAGCTTAAGGAAAGCTTAAATTATCTTAAAAATAAAGGATGATGGAGTTATGAGAGATTAAGTAAAAGGAGTTTTTAAGTGAATTCTTGAAATAAAAGGAGTTAATAGATTTTTAAGTTGAATTTAACTTGGCAATGGTTAAATTAAGGAATATGAAGTATTAAAAGTGGATTTAGAACATGTTGAAAATTGAGTATGATTCTTAAATTTCATAAGGATGAGAGGATTTTGAAGTTAAAGATGGTTTATATGGATATAAATTGGTTTAAGCATGTGTATATGAGTTAAGATCATGAAAGGGGATGAAAAATGAAGCATTTGAGTTGATTTGAGTAGATTTTCGGGCTTAAAAATGAATTATGGGTTATGTGAATCGATGCACATTCAATGTGCACCGATGCATCAAGGGTAAATTTCCAGAAATTGGTCAGAGTGTATCGATGCACAGGAAGTGCATCGATGCACCCATTAAAATGGAAACATCGAATGTAATTAATGCATCAATGCACATGTTAAGGGATGCATCAATGCACTTCAAGGGGAAATTGAAATAAATATTTCTTTTGGTCTAAGAAATGATAGGTTAGTGTATATCAATTGGATACTAATATGTATCAATGTATGATTATATAGATATCGATCACAAACAAGTCCCGAAATGATTATCAAGTTATGATTCGATCGCAAGAGAGGAAATTATAAAAATGGATTGGAACTTAGTGAGGCCAAGGTGAGTGCGCATTATTTTATATATAATGTTTAATGGGAAATAAGACTTGCGACAAGTCTATTTTCTATAGTATTGTGCATGAAGTATGAATATGAACATGTGTTTGTTATGAGTGTCTG